GGAGTGGCACTCAACGGCAACGAGTCAGCGTGAGAAAATGATGATTTCTGACGGTTGACGGTGACGGTTGATTGATCCTTGCATTTCACTGCTAATGTCATATAAACGTTTAGGTCTCCCTAATGGAGGAAGGTTTACTGCGTAGCGCGTCTCGCGAAGGCTACTCATCCTTTTCATCCCTTTTTAGGTGTGTCTCAAAATTGTGTGGGTGTTGCCGTCAGAAACGGCCGTCCATGACTCTGGGTCAAATCCAGGATACAATCCTCCTTCATCTTCTTTCGGTTGACCGGCTCCGCACCCGCCTAGGGTGACGAGAGTACTGACTTCTACATCGGAATAACGGCGATGTGTTGTAGAGGTCAAATCGCATCTTAATCCTACCACAGTTCCCGAGTGCGCGGCGTATTCCAAAAGTAGACGCCATGTGCTTCATCCTCCACCACTTAGCCCAGAGACTGTTCACGACTCTAGCCATTGAACACTAACAGCTTGACCATCCAAGTAAAAATAACCCCTTACATTTAAGGACTGTGTGAGAGGCTTCCCGGAAGCTTGTCGCGCTTGGACGATCCTCGTTGCTGCCCTTGTCGATCGGCTACGTTCTGCTCCTCGCCGTGGAAGTCTTACTCCATCAAGGGAACCAAGTCCCAACTCGACGTTTTCCGCGCCTGATTCTACACGTAGCTTGAATTGCACGGGGTTAAGGTGAGCAGATTTCCATGGAATTGTAACTGGACATCAATCGGCCATGTATTTATCAACAGTTTCAGAAGGGATAGTACTTTTCGGTCAAGCTGGAATAACATCCAGCACAGCACACAAGACTCGTTAGGTACTCCTGGATGTCCAGTCAGGTAATGAAAAGCACTCTCAAACATGGAACTCCTTAGAGGTTCTCAATTTCAATTCCTAAAAAGCAAGGCTTTTAAGGAGGAATTCATATCGTGGTGCTGCCTCAGACATGAGTGGAGGATGCATCGACATGACTTCACTGAAAGCTGAGCTTCCCGATGTTCGTAGTAGCCCAGCCATAGCCTAATACTAGCAGCTCCCTGTCAGATTTTGTCTTCATCGTTCTGCTGTATGTATTGCCTGTATGTATTACTGTATTCCCTACAATGCACACTCTCGATCACAGCCGTTAGCCCCGGAAACGAGAGTGTGGAAAACGCTGTCGCGGCAGCGCTTCAATCGTTGCCCCTCCACACGGGCCCTCGTTTTCAGGGATAACGACTATATTTATGTCATTGATCTCAGCAAAACTGAATAAAATTGAATTGGACCACCAACACATTCCCACATCACGACGCCCGTGTCAGTTGATGAGCTTGAAGTCCTTGGGTCACACATACAGGGGGGGGGCAGCGAAAAAAAGACACTTTTCTTCCTCGACTTTCAAGATAGAAGTTACACTTTAATGAATTCTGATTGGACATTTTATCACAAGAATGCTGAGTTGTGGGCAAATGTCGTGCCCCAGGCGGGAGTCGAACCCACACCGTCGGCCTGCATCCGGTGCTTAGTGCGCTATCCAGTATACGCCGACCAGGCCGTCTTACCCTCTCGCTTAACGGGTATACGCACTCTTTTTCGTGTCGGACAAGCGTGAGTGGTGCGGGTTCGACTCCCCCTGGGGCACGACTTTTGCCCACAACTCAGCATTCTTGTGATAACATTTCGAACGCGTACTGCGGCGTTAAACAGCAGTTATCACTAGACAGATAATGATCAGCTTCTTAATCTGACATATGTTCACCATATCAGCGCAACACATTGTGCACTATGTTCGTAAATTCCGAACACCTTCTGGACGAAATCATGGCAGAGATTCTGCCAGCGCTAACCTGTGATTCGGGATGCCTGAGTTCAGTACAAGGTCATTTGAATCTCGCCATGTTGATCACCTGCCCGAACCGGAGTAATTTGGGGAATCCAGTTAAAGACCACATGGTTACGCTCATACACATTTGAGGTGTTATGGTAGCTATCAGCCCCCAGATGTCGATGTGTCGTGGTTCGCCCGCCCAAACATGCCCAGGAATGGAGATACAGGGCCGTGAAACACGCTAATTCTCTTCCATGCTCCGCCCACTGCCTTTTTACGGCGCAGATTCCCGCCGTTAATAACATCCGTTGCAAGCGCGCCTGTCGCGTGCGGCTCCTTGGCACTTTGCCAAGTCCGTCTTAATTGCGTCTCAAATATACAAGGAAAACGCAATTTATTTTATGCCGGATAACACTGGAGGGGCTAACAAAATAAGAGCAGAAGATGATGAAGAGGGTCAGAACCTAAAAGCGACTGTTGCCACTTCTGCAACATCCCTCGGAGGCCACGTATTTCCACGAAACATGAAAATAAAAACTAAAAACGGCATACTCGTTAGTTTAATACAAGCAAGACGCAATTTCCTGATGCGAATAAAATTTAAGGTGTTGCTCATGCTTCAAAATCCATGTACAAGGAGATGAAGATGACACAGGCTAGAAATGAAGCACAACGATGTAAATGTAAACAAAACAAAAATGAAAAAATCAAGGAAAGGCAAATTAGATAAACTGGCCTGTAAATTTCTACGATCCGGCGCCAAAGCCATAGAAATACTTAGAACAAACGAGTGGGACGCTTGGGCTGTTTTTATTTTCATGTTTTGTGGGAATGCGCGGCCCTTGATGGATACTGCAGATGCAGCCGAGTTGCTCTTGAGTTCTGCCCCTTGTCATCATCTTCTGCTCTTATTTTGTAGCACCTCCAATGTTATCCGCATCAGGAAATTGCGTTTTACTTGTATTTGAGAGCGCAATTAAAGGACTTGGCAAAGTGCCAAGGAGCCGCACGCGACAGGCGCGCTTGCACAAGTTGTTATTAAGCTTGCGGAATCTGCGCCGTAAAAAGGCAGTGGGCGGAGCATGGAAGAATTAGCGTGTTTCACGGCCCTGTATCTCCATTCCTGGGCATGTTTGGGCGGGGGGACCACGACACATCGACATCTGGGGGCTGATAGTCTCATACACCCTCAATGTGTATGAGCGTACTATGTGTCTTTAAGTGACAGCTTGAATATTCCGTCTACTTCAGGCTCGCAACGACCTTCGATTCCATGCGGCGACACCCTATTCTGTAGCACTACGAAGTTTCCAAGATGGTACAGGCGACGACATTCCAGGAACTTCCGGTCCATACCATCAACCCGCCTTGGCGACTGCGGTGAAGATGATATCCTGGACCGTAGCGACGTTGTCGGAGCTGCTCGATGTTGGAGGTCTTCCAGATCGAGAGTGCCGGTCTCCAGGTAGCTGTCCATGGGTGACTCCATACAAGAAGTTTCGCAGCTGTTTGGAGGTGACGTGAATTCCATAGGCCTTCTCCAGTCAGGCTGCGATTGGAGATGGCTTCATATTTTGGTGTACATGAAGGTGATGGACGAGAGCCTACTCCTGCTTGTCGAGGAACATCTTAAGTATGTTCCGCCCTGAAACTGTATCCACGTCTTTAACTTAACTGATATGTGACTCGGCCGAAGTGCCTCTGTTTAGGGCTTTGTAGATCCACAATGTCAAACAGATGTCACAGTTGTACCATTGTTCCGGAGTGCACGTAGGTGGAACAATTTCTCACAAAAATTTATAGTGCAGTGTCGGGCTAAAGGTAACCACGTGTCCAAATTTTTGTCAAGTTGTTGCAGCTAGTTTAAAAACCTTTTGAAGGAGAAGAGTTGTGTAAAAACGCTGGGATAACTGCAGTATTGGCGTTGAGGCACTTTTTTTTCAGCTGCAACTTAGCACCCTACATAAATTTTTCAAAAGACCTATACTCGTGACTAAACAGTGGAAAGATTATAAGTGCAAAGACTCAGTAGGACCTATAAGAAAGTGCTCGTTGCAACAGTTTCGCACGTCATGAGTAGAGCTCCTTATA